CCAAAAATGACTTGTAATGAGCGGCATCATTAGGTCCAACTGTGGTGAGATGCGGCCAATAAAACTTGATTCCCTTTGCTTTCCCTTGCCGACGCGGTCGTTTTTTTCCTCTCGCACACTGCCAGGGGCAAATCTTTGGTAGCTTTTGAGAGTTTTGAGACCTGGGGAGAGTTGTTCTAAAACATTTGGGCTGTTGTTCAGTGCTTTAACGAGGAACATTATTCACATGGATAGAACAGTAGCATAAGCCTTATTCCTGGGAGAAAAACCATGAGAGTCTATATCCCCATTCTCTCGGTTTTTCTCCGAGAAATAAGGCTAATACTGCAGTCAAAAATTTTTGACTGAGTGACATAAGTTTCATCCTGATCTTAATGGTCAAATCAATCCTATCATGCCTGTGGCAGGATCCGATTTAAAAGGATCCCTAAGTGCCTATTCGAGGGTACTGATACTTACCAACAGTGAGAAGTCAACGGCGGAATTCATGTCATTATTGCTGAACGTTAATGTGACCTTTATAATGTGAGCATCTAGAATGAATTACATAGACTGGCGTCCCATGGCCAGGGCTGGAGATCGCTCCCGGAGTGTGTGTGTGTGGGGGGGGGGGGGGTCAGGATCCAGGAGCCCCGGGCCATTTTGATCTAGTTTATCACAAGGGGTTGCCGCGCCTCCCCCTCCCCCGATTTTAGAGCATCTCGGCTATGGGCCACTTGATTTTGAAAGTGGCACACTGATCTTGATATTTCAAAAGAAGCTTTTGTGGAAGCTTTTGTGGAGCTTTCGTAGAAAACAAGCTCACAGACTCCGTGTCAGCTCTAAACCTGTTACACTTTTGACTTGCCAGAGGTCCATGACATTTTGGGTTAACTTAAGCGTACCTGATTTGTGTTTAAACCGATTTGTTACCACCAAGAAACGCCGGTTCCATTCCACTTTATTACCTTTTTCATGCACATGCCTGTCGTCTTCTGCTACGCGTTTTGACACACCGGAAGTGCGTATGATTCCTCCAGCGTCTGTTGCTGTTTGAATAATGGCCTGACTCGTGTTTCCAAATATTCTACATTTTGCCATCTTTCATCCCGTGACCACATCTAAAATTTTCTGGAATCCATTTCTTTTTTGGTGGCAGTTTATACAGCCAAAACAAGTTGAACACCTTTTGACTCCTCAACCACCAAGCTATTCGAACTGCAATTAGCAAGTCACTAAGCATTTTTGTGAAAGGGCAAGTCACCAGCATCTGACCGCGCCTAAGGTGTGACGAAATTTGGTTAAAATGTGCTTTTCAGAAGCACCATATTTTGTATATTTTTTGTTTTTCTATTTTGGCTCCTCGTGGAGGTGAAAGGAGCGACCAAAAGCGCTCTGAACCAGTCGTGGTAGCTTAACGATTCCATCCAGGGAATAGATGAGCCTATTTCGGCAATTCGACCCCGCTGTCACCATCTATCACCAGGGTAAGGGCATGCATAGAAGGGCGGGAGAAAAATATAACTTATTCAGGAAACGAGATTTGTCGCTGGCCTGTTGACCCTCCTCTACGACAAATGACCTGATAAGGACGTCAAAGTGATGACACCTTATGACAGGCATATAATATTACTCCGAATGAGTTATGTCGCCGTCTTGCGGCATGGGGATCACGTTAGGACCCCGGCTGAAGCGACAGAGAAAAATCTGCAGCGCTAGTGGAATCCACTCCATGTCAATACTTCGGCGCGAGACGAAATTCCCGCGAACGACACATGATGACCTGAGATGTACGTTAGTGTGATAAAGCGGCACATGATGACCCGATATGTACGATACGGGGGATAAAACGACAAATTACGACCCGAGGTCCATGCTGCGCGTAATACGACACCTCACACCTTAAGCACATACATTAGCTCGGCTCTAAGGCTCGGCTTGCCACGGGGTCTAGGGCTCTAAAGCCCGGCTTACCCCGAGGTCTAGGGCTCTAGGACTCGGCTTACCCCGGGGTCTAGGGCCCTAGGGCTCCCCTTACACCAAGGTCTAGAGCTCTAGGGCTGGGCTAACACCGGGGTCTAGAGCTCTAGAGCTCCGTTTGGCAGGGTTCAAATAATATTGTAGTCATCATGGGATATGGCTTTGCTTTGCGCTGCTTCAGTATTGTAGTGCTCCGCTTGTGGTCGTTAAAAACCGCGGGAGCGGGCTGGGCTTGTCATTTTCTAAAGTTGTAGTTTCAACAAGTGTTCGTGCAGAAAGTCAAGAGAGTTGCCGCCTCTCATCATGCGGTTTTGCTGTTCTGGCCGGTTAAGTGGGAAGCAGTTTGTAATTCCTTCAGCCCACGTCTGCCGCAGACGAGACAGGACTGGTTAGTTTGTTTAGGTATGATATTATCGCCGCAGCTCCTTGGACGGCCGTTAAGCCGTATGCTAAAGCTTGTGCTTTAAAACATGGAAGTGAGGTGATCATAGGACGTTGAAAATTTGTACTGTGCTGAGGTTTAGTGCTTTTAGGCATGTTACAGTTGTGAGCTCAACCATGTATCATGCAATTTGAGTTGCAAAAATTTGGATGTACTATATATATATATATATATATATATATCCTCAATAATATATCAGGCAGTTGTGAGTTGTAAAAATTGTAATATAATATCATGTTTGGGTACAAAGGATAACCAATATAACATCTTGTATAAAATGACAGCTAAGGAAAAAGAGGGAAAATTGCCATTTGGATGACACCATATCGTCAAAGAAATAGATGCTAGAAACTTTTTTATCACAAATTTTGAAAACACCTTTATACAAAACTGCGCGATCTTGTGGATAGGAAAATTGACTGGCCCTGTATTAGCATTTTTGGCTTACAGTTGGCAGTCCAAATGACGCTTGTTAAAATAAGACAACAAAATGAAACACGCGGACTTGTATATCATCAATGAGGCTGCGAACGTACGTCTGGCGTTGTTGTATTCACCCACTTCTGTGACATTCGCCATTCGATTCATCTCTAGCGTATGAAGATGCTTGGACTTGGAAGGTCGGGTTACATCCATAACTCACATGCCAGTGTCACAGGAATGGAGAGAAAGGGAGTGTCCGAGAGCCTTGGACTATACATGAAGAGGTGAGGTTTTGGAGAGTTTGTCTTTGTTTTTGGAGAGCGACTTTTGAATGAACCATTTTTAAATTAGTAGGTGGCATCGTGAGCGAGCTTCTGGCGTCACAATATGTGAAAAAATACACTTGTCTCTGCTATGTCGCAATTCCTGATGATACCGGCATATAACAGGTTTCTGCCCTTTTCAATCAGACAGTATCTGTGTTTCTGAGCGTCTGTGCTGCTGTGCGTCTGCTCAGTGGCCCAAGGCCGTTATCCATTGTATAGATTCAGAGTAGATGGTGCTGATACCACGTCGACGTGATGTGACCTACCCGACTTTCCCATACATATGACAGTTCATATTAGCGCTCGTATGCAGATTGCTTCTTGAATGACGTCTTCATTGATTCATTTATATCTGGTAGCTTTTCGTTTATATTCGACACAAAAAGCTCAAGCCATAGCACGAAATTCGCCGATACCCTTTGCTGAAATGGACGAAAATGCCTCACAGTAAGGCAGCTGACGCTAACGGTGCAACCGTGTTTGTATAAACGGTGGTTTTCCTGGTAATCTGTTTGCGGCCGGCTCATACTCATACGACAACCGTCAAGAACTTGGGCTTGTAGCTTCAAAGAGCTGCAGCTGCTGCAGGGTCCCGTGCACAACACATTCTGCAGCTCTCGGAGCGCGAAGTCGTGGCCGGCTGGCTGCGCGCCGACGGCACCTGGTCTACAAGGTCGGTTCCGGGCTGAGACGTGCAGCTTCCTGACCCGGTGGCCGTGAGTTGAGCAGCACGGGCGCCGCCAGGGTGGCTCAGCGGACATCTGTGGCCCCCCGAGAAGACCCGGGCCGCGGTGGTGTTGGTAGTCGTAGCATTAAATTGCTGGAATATGATCGCGCACCGTAAACCAACAGCACGGAGGCCCAATGATGCCTTCGGCTGTGCTAGTATGTTTCCAAGGATTCGACATTGTGTCTTTTGCATAGCTTGTAACGGGCCGCACTTACTCTATCGTTCTTAAATACGTCGATTAAGTTTTAATGTCGGTATTCTTACTTTCATGTGCGATGCTGGATGTCATCAAACAGTTGCTTGGGCGTTAATGTCCGACGACCTTGGAGCCCGTTACACCCTGGCAGCCGTAAATATTGGCATTGCCGATCAGTCACAAGCAGCGACAGACTAGTCTGTTCGAAGCGGCGGTGGCAGAGCCGAGCCTGGCACCGGCCGTGGTCTTGGCACAGCCGCCTGCGGTCGATGTCTTACCCTTCCCAGAGAAATGCGACAACTCGGATGGGAATCAAGACCAACTGGCGGCGGGTACCAAACGCGTCGTGGCTGCTCCGCGTCGCGAGCCGAAATCGGCGCACCAACCGGTCAGCACCGCAGCACCGGGACGGTGAGCTTATCTCCGCCATGCACCGTCGCACCCACCCAGTCCGGGCGTCTCCATCCCGGTCTCGGACCCGGTCGGCGGGCGCGCGTCACCAAGCGCTCGGAAAGTCCGCGCCGGTACGGGGCCGGTCGCTGCGCGGCCCTGGACCCGTTCCCCGAACCGGCCTGGCCAGTTCGCGGATCGCACCACCTGGAAACCCCAGTCGCCGCGGAAGGACTTGCCTCACGGCGGCGCCGCGCTCCGCCGCACAGGGCAGCGGGGGGGGGGGGGGGGGGGGGGGGGCTTCCGCGGTGGCGGATCTTATCGAGAGCACTGCGCCGATCGGGAATACGGATGAACGGTCTATTACGTCAATAGATTTGACAGTGATTAGCTCTTTGCTGTCATGCAAGCGGTACACGCAACTTGAAGGAAATATCTCCCTGGCGATCTTTCCGTGAACGCTGATCGGGAAGACCATCCAGCCATACCTAGCACGATGATTCTGTGATATCGCGGCAGCAGGTACGGCTGTTCTTAGGCGCGGTAGGAGACGCATACATACTTAAACGACGAGAAGTTCCAGGGGTAGAGTCTACAACAACGAGAACAATAACGACAGCGAAATCGACTGCGAGAATGGAAAGAGCACGCCCCGCAGTAGCTAAGCCATTAAATCGTGAAGACGCGCTGAGGTCACAGGGTCGAATCCTGGGCCTGCTCATTAGATTGTCTGTCACGATCACTCGCATGGAGCCGCGTGCTTTTTGCCGACAGATTAAACAAGCGGGTTTGACTCGACAATGTGCCTGCTCATTTGTGCATACCGACGGCGTGGTCCGGGCTGGAGACGTGTGCACAGGCGCTTGGTGCCTCACCACAAGTTCACGGTCATTGTTTCAAGGAGCTGGCAACAGGCGGCTTTGGCGTAGGATGACGACTGTAGGTGCTTGGTGTGTATGGTGCTATGGTATAGCGTTCTCGCGTCATCACGATCTCCGTAGGGGCAAGGCAACAACTGAGCTCGTGAGGACGCCACAATGTCAGTTGCATCAGCGCGGTTAGCCTGATCCTCAACGCCGACGATGGCGTCGGCACAAAGGCTAGGCGTCGACCTTCAAGGCGCCGGCTGTTCGACGCCGCGTGAAGCAGGTGATGCTGTTGGCATGGTGAACCAACTCGGACTTGTGACCTCCGCAACGTTTGACTATGCGCTGTTCACTGTTGGCGCGCGCGCGCGTGTGTGTGTGTGTGTGTGTGCTCGTGTATGTTTTCCCGTGCTGGTGGCAGGATTGCTCTTTTGCTATGTTCCCTGCATGTGTTATTTTCCACGACGTGCTTAAGTGAAAAGCCACCATGTGGACGTTACCGCACCTATCGTGATCATCAGCAGAAGCGCGGGAAGCGGATGGGATGGGATCGGGCTCGGATTAGCACGGCGTAATGCCGCAAAAACAGATGGTATAGTCCACCACCAGCCGAGCAACGATAAGGGTGACGGGTGTTTTTTGTGTGCTGGGCTTTCGAGACTGGGTCTTTTGCAACCGCACAGCGAAGCATCTGTGTTGAGGAAAAACCAGCCATAATAGCGCCGCAAATCTCCTTTAAGGAATTTGCTGCGTTGACAGAGGGGTATGTTTTTATTTCCGTGGTGAAGAAAACATCGAAAAATGTTTCGCTGCCCGCGGTTACCAAAAGGGGAGAGTGAAAACAGTTGTATCAGCTTTTAGTATAAGCTACCTACTGCTAGAACTACTAAGGATAGGACTAAAATTGTTATATCAGCAGACAGCTACAACCTTCAGCTTCATACGTAGCGTTAAGGCCTTAAGAGCACGTCTTCGGCTTTTGGTATGACTTATAAATGGACTCCTTTCAAAAGGGACAGCTTACCCCACCCCGGCATAACTTGTATCGCATAGAGCTTATGTGTTTTTTCCATAGAGTAAGGTACATCGCAAGCATGCTGGATGTCTTGCGATGTGTAGACGAAATGCATTCGTCTGTGTTATTTCGGAATTCGTCGTGATTGCGACACAACATATTTTTTCTCTCTTGAACGGTCGGTGTTTGCTTCACGACCACTGCCATCTTGGTTTCGGCTGTTAAGCAGGAATTTATGAATTTACGTAGGTCATATAAATGACAACTTATTGTCTAGATGCCAATATGGCATGGTGATCAGGCCAGACAATGGTTGACAGTAAGTCGGTCCATAACATACTGTCGACACATTGTACCAACGACACAATATGTCCCATGCGCAGCAGATACATGCATCACCCGAAATCTTGGAAGAAAGTTCGCACCACTCTGAAATCCTCGGCTAGCAGATGCCAAGCTCTGCAGCATGTACGACTCGTACACTTTCCTACCACTCAATATAACATTCAGATTTGTATTGCTGTGGCGTAAGCTCTTAAACACACCTTTACACTGATCACCATACTTTTTAACGATGCGCAAAAAACAGATTTGTTTGCGCTCGCCCAAAGACGCAAGCACGCATGCGGCCGGAATCGGACTGAAAGGTAGAGTGAGCTACTGTGCGTCAGCTAAGTGACTCCAGGCTTCCATCCGCCGCATAGATTTGGACTGATCCTCTCGCACTACCTGGACATAATACAGCGCATCCCACTCTCCCCTGCGAAACTCTCGAAGCAGAGCAGAACCGTATGATGACGTGGAAGCTGCTTCACTTTTGGGAGACGGAACGGCTTCCATAAAAACAACGGGTTCACCTGACAGCAGGCAGGAGGCGCTAAATATGTAAGTGCCCACAGACGTTGCGGAGTGGAAACAACGTGACACGCGTTTAGTTTGTTATGATCAGGCCGTCCGTCTAAGTGAACGTTTAGACTGTATACGTAGACCTGGGCCCCACCCTTAATCAATGCAGCCTCGTCTCAGCATATGATATAACATCCCATCCGACTTCATGAAGCAGACACGGCTGACTCTGGAAAGATGTACCGTGCTTAGGAGAGAGCATGGGTCATTTAATGCACACGGAGACATTGAGAAAGAAGCAGTACATTGCAGCGGTATTGGTCATAATTATGAAAACTCTCTCTCTCTCTCTCTCTCTCTCTCTCTCCTCTCTCTCTCTCTCTCTCTCTCTCTCTATCTCTCTCTCTCTCTCTCTCTATCTCTCTCATCCGCTCATCTCTCTCTCTCTATCTATCTCTCTCTCTACTCTCTCTCCCTCCTCTCTCCTCTCTCTCTCTCTCTCTCTCTCTTCTCTCTCTCTCTCTCTCTCTCTTCTCTCTCTCTTCTCTCTCTCTCTCTTCTCTCTCTCTCTCTCTCTCTCTCCTCTCTCTCTCTCTCTCTCTCTCTCTCTCTCTCTCTCTCTTCTATCTCTCTCTCTCTCTCTCTCTTCTCTCCTATCTCTCTCTCTCTCTCTATCTCTCTCT